GGGTTTAGTTTAGGGGTTTAGGGGTTAGGGTTGGACCCCAAAGAACCTGCCTTTTCAGGGTTCCTTATACTATGATTTCATTACATATGTCCTCAAACAGGTAGGGGCTAAGGTAGGATCCAAAACCCTAAACCCCAGGATACTGAACCTTGCGGGAATCGGAAAAGTTCGTCATGCAGCCATAACAAAACCCTGACGCACCCTCAAGAAGTCCTACAAGACACTTTATCATAATATAAACTACTATCCTACACCCAAAACCCTGAACCCAAAACCATAGGATCCCAAACCCGAAACACTAAGATCCTAAACCCGAAACACTAAGATCAGAAACCCGAAACGCTTACACCTGAAAGAACTGAAGCCTCAAACCCTAAACCCTAAACCCCTAAACCCTAAACCCAAAACACTAAGATCCTAAACGAAAGAACTGAAGCCCGACGATCCTGCAGCGCCACCGTCAAGGCCACGATGTACTTCGTCCGCCACTCCGGGCCTCATTGAGCTTCGGGCTGGTGATGGTTTAGCCACGGTTTAGGGTTTAGGGTTAGGGTTTAGGGATTCCTGTAAAGGGATCCTTAAAGGGTTCTATAAGGAATCTATGATAAGGCTCTATAGTAGGGGCCTTAAAAATTAGAGTAGGGTTTTGGTGTATCTTATACCATAAATATACTAAGGACCCCCGAATCCCCCAAAATAGTATAGATAATTATTAAGGCCTATATTACAGGAACTTATCGGGTGCTGTAGTCGTTCATTGGGGCCCTAAGCCCTCTTACAGCAGATCCTAGGTAGTATTAGAGAGACGCCTTAAAGGGGACCCTTCTGAACCCTGCTTGTGGCTCTCTTAAAAGGGACTTTACGCTAGCTTTCACACGGACGAGGCTGACGGAGGCGAGCCGTCGATCTCTTGGAGCACGGTTCAAGTCTCCCCATCATGCACAGGTTGATCCATCATGTCAACCGAATTCACATCCAGCTCGATGTCCTGGGTGAAACTGGCCACTTCTTCATGTCAAAGTTCACGTTCCAATGTCGCCTTTGCGACATCAATTGTGCATCCTGTGACGGCCGCCATGGCTTGCAATGACCATCCTCCACTCATCAGAACGTATTCTCCTTCTCGTGGTGGCTTGTGTGTGGCACTCGCGAGCTTGTGTGCTCCGCCGCACCATATCGTCCCCAGGTTCCAGTCGCAGTCGTATGCAGTGAACTAGGCGTTCAGGACACAGACGATGCCACCCCTGCTGTCCTTTGTGTCAGCAGCTAATGTGCAGGCCACTCTGCGTACCATACTGACCAGGGCGCTCTTGGCGCGAGCCGCCTTTGTTTTGACAAAGCTGGCCCACATCGGCTTGCCGTCATTGCCACTTTCTTTTGTGCTTGGCAAGATGTGCTTTGCCGCTGCGACAACTTTGATGGTTTCCCACATACGATCACGAAGCATCTGAGGCGAGTCTCCATCTCGAGGCTGAAAACGGAGCATCCCAACAGAACGTCGAGGGCCGAAGTAAACCCCTAAACCCTAAAACGCCCCCTAAACCCTATAGAAACCCGTATAGATCCCTTTAGAGGGACCCTAAACCCTAAACCTTAGCCTTCGCTCTGGCAAACCCCTAAACCTCGAACAGCAATCCCGGAAGCTTCACTTCCAGCGAGCCCCAAAAACGTAGGGGCCTCAACACTTAGAACAGGGTTCCTTTAAAGGGATCCCGAAAGGGTTCTATAAGAAACCTTTGATGGGGTTCTATAGCAGGGGCCTTACTAGTTAGAACAGGGTTTTGGGGCCCATGATACTATACTTATGATAAGGAACATCCCAAAATAGTAGTCGTAACTATTAAGGCACCTATATTATCCCGAAACCAAAAGATGGGTCTGAAGCATGACAAAGTAAGGCTTGGGGCTTAGGGCCTATAGGGTTTAGGGGTTAGGGTTCAAGATTTAAGGTTTAGGGTTTAGGGGTTCGCGGCTTAGGATTCATCTGCTGCAAGACTGGCGGACAGAAAGGAAGTTCGGAAAATGGTGGGGGGAGAACTGCTGTAATATAGCAGCCTCAATCATTACCAAGAATATTTTTGGGGGGGTTCCCCAATAGAAATAGAGAATAATGGGCCCCAAAACCCCCATTCCAATTGTTAAGGCCCCCCTAAACCCTACACCCAAAACCCTAAACCCTAAACCCTAGACCCTAGACCCTAAACCCTATACTATATTACCCTTCAGCCCGCGGGCTAAACCTCCGTAGTCTCAATCCCAGACCTGCCTAAAGTGTGAAGCCAATAGCTCCAGCTGGGGAGAAGCCCTAAACCCTAAAGCCCTAAAGCCCTGAAGCCCTAAAGCCCTAAAGCCCTAGAGCCCCAAAGCACTAAACCCTAAACCGTCGTAGAGAGATTCTTGTTTCCGGCTGTTGTGCGTCGCGACATGCGGTAGAAAATCGAGAACCGTTCCATCACTTACACCCTAAACCCTAAACCCTAAACCCTAAACCCTAAACCCTAAACCCTAAACCCCAAACCCTGAGCCCGCCACCCTGAAACCCTGAACTTCCGACCCTGCAGCCTGAACCCCTTAGAGTTTAGGGTTTTAGGGTTTATAGGGTTTAGGGTTTTAGGGTTTTAGGGTGTAGGGCTTTAGGATTTGGTGATCACTAAAGCCCTCAACAATTAACCCATGCACGCCAAAACCACCCAAAAAACCCTAAAACCCCCTAAACTGTGACTCCCCAACCCCCCAGGTACCTACTATATCGGGTACTAGAGCCCCCAGGGCCCTGTATAGTAGGTACCAGGAGGGTTATAAACCCTAAACCCTAAACCCTAGACCCTAAACCCCTATATAAATCCCTAAACCCTAAACCCTAAACCGTGAGGGTTAGGGACTGTCTATCTCGAACCCTCATCGTGACAAGGCGCCCATGAGTGCCTTGATCTCCTTAGGTGGGTGTGCGTGTTCTTCGCACTTCGTGCATTAGGGTTTAGGGTTTTACGGTTTAGGGTTTAAGGTTTAGGGTTTAGGGTCAGGGAACCCAATACCCCTTAATTAAGGAATATACCTTAAATCATAATCTAAAGGCCCCTATAATTGAAGGCGTATTCCTTAATTAAGGGGGAATTGGGTTCTCTGGGTTCTTCTTTAGGGACAAGTGCCCTCTGTCTGCACTGTAAAACCCTAAACCCTAAACCCTAACCGTGTATTCGGCGCTAAACCCTCAAGCTCGACCGCCCCAAACCGCTAAATGCATAAACCCATCGTTTCCCAAACCCCCAAAAGGATCTACAAAATAGATCCCCTAAGGGTTCCCATAAAGTACCCTTTAGCAGTTAGGGTCCCTAATTAGGGGATCTATTGTTTAGATCCTTTTGGGGGTCTGGGTTTGGAGGCCCGCAACATCCTTTATCACCATGAAAGGGGCTCATTTAGCAAAGGTTCTAGCAAATCCCATCTGACAATCCCTAGTGAACCCAAGAAAGTTGGAACATGGGTTTAGGAGGATTGGTGCTAGGATCCCCTGTACTTTACTTTAAGGGGTTCTGTAGGGGTTATAATACCCTAATGTAGGGGCCTTAATAATTAGAATAGGGTTTTGGGGAGGGGTTCCTGAGGGAAATGGGAACTGTTGCTAGCTGCTCCGGCCCCTCATGCAAGGCTCCAACCTGTGTAGCTGTACGACAAGAAACCATAAACACCCCAAACCCTAAACGCTAAACCCTGAAACCCTAAACCCCAAACCCGAGTCTATGCACTCATATACCATCTCATGTTTCGGCCTCCAAGAGGTTCAATAGTCTTCAAGACATCTTAAAGCTCCCAGAGTACGATTTTTATTTGAAATCCGATAAAACCTTGTCTTGTGAGAGCTCCACATAGTATTCCCTAAACCCTAAACCCTAAACCCTAAACCCTTGCTGCTGGGCTGCGGGGTGCTTCTTCAAGATCTCGGAGCGCCGTGTTGCGTGAGGCTCCAAGTTGTCTGCATGAAAGAAGTCCCGATCCTTGCAGTCTGGGTTTGGGTTTAGGGTTTAGGGTTGAGGGTTTAGGGTTTAGGGTTTAGGGTGCTCTTTATTACCTTGCTGAAATTATAACTTTTAGTACCCCTAATATAAAAAAGTGGCTAATCCTAAAAGTCATAAAGCTATAAAGTGACTGTGAAGTTAAACCTAGTTGCAGTACCCTATATAGGCTTTCGAGAACCTTGTAGCTAGGGCCCTAGACCCCTTAAGGACCCAATAATGAGGTCCCTGGAAGCCTAGGGGTAGGCTTACAACCAGCTTTGTTCCTGGAGACTAGACCAGGAAGATGCAAATCCTAAACCTTTCCTGGATCTCCGCAAGCCTAAACCCTAAACCCTAAGCCCGTTTAGGGTTTAGGGTTCAGGGTTTAGGGTTTAGGGCTTGTAGTGTTTAGGTCAAGTAGAAACCTGTGGGGATTGCAGCACATGGAACCTGCACGGTGTGAGTTGCATGTCTTTGCTTGGCTTCTTAAGAAGCTCACCCAAAGAACCCAATACCCCTTGATTACGGAAATACCTGAAATTATAGGGGCCTTATTATGATTGTTATTATTACGTAAGATATACTCCATAACTAAGGGTATGGGGTTCTCTGGGCAGTTGCAGTTATTGCAGCCAAGAAAGCACAGTAGTTGCTCGATGGTATCGTCACTCTGCCATCACTTGAAAGCATACCCTAAGGGTCCAAGTAGGGTTTAGGGTTTAGGGTTTAGGGTTTAGGGTTTAGGGTATACTAATAATCCTTTACTCCCTCAAAATAGTAACCTACACAACTACTATCCCAAACCTCACTACCTGATGATCGGGTCCTTTGGACCCTTGGGGATATGCTCCTAACTACCTGATTATCGGGTCCTTTGGACCCTTGGGGATATGTTTGGCAGCACGGAGGACAAAGAAGCTGCAGGGTTGGCGCAAGGCATTGCACTTCGGCCTTGCTTCCCCCTTTTCGTCCCATTGTGATCCTAGGTTCCCCAGTAGCCCCTTCATAATAAGGGTACCCTTGTTCCTACTATTTGGTTTTAAGAAGGGAGCCCCAAACGAAAAAGGGCAAACGGGTACTACTGGGGAACCTAGTATCTAACCGTGATGCAGTTGTGCAGCATATCACGTCTACTGTGAAATTCCACAAAATTGCTCGCATTGCACTCCAGCTATGAAGACTCTTGGCTGCAAAACATGATGAGGAAGAGACTGTGCTGCATCTGTTGGCTTAGATTCCGGCCCATGTTGTAGATGCCCAAGATATATGCGCTGCTCTTGTTATATATCCCCCACCTAGCTCCGGACCCAGTCGTAGGGTCTGTCACAGTTGAGAGTTTGTCAGCTAGCGTCGTGTTGCCATCTGCGGGCCTTGTATGAAGTTATCCCTACTGTAGTCCTCCTTCTGTGTACAGCCCGAGAACCTGAAACCCCAAATCCAGAAAAGAGTGGGTGAGTGAGTGTCGCCCTTGGGTGATATCCGGCCCACGTAACAAATTGCCCCATCCCAAAACAAAAACCAATGCGGAAACTTTATAATAATTGTAATACTACTACATAATACTAATAATAATAATAGTAATAATAATAATATTAATAATAATAATAATGATAATAATAATAATAATAGTAATAATAATAATAATAATCGCAATATGAATCGAGAACCCAAGCCCTTCCGACTGAGGAAGCTGAGGCCCTGGCGCCTTTGAAAGGTACCCGCTGCCACTCCGACTTGTTAGTTCCCATGGCGATGGCGGCGGCTTCTTGGGGACTTTTTTTGACTCGGGTCCAGCAGGGAAGAGGAGAGCAAAAAAAGGGGGCGCAGAATCAGAAGGCACAAAAGATCCGAGAGGGATCCCGATGTTTTGAGGGAGATAATGGGGCCGGTTGGTGGTGAAAATACGGTTCATGGATCGTTTTGGGCGGACCCTCAGCTTGGAGCCAGAAGCAGATATCGGGCTGAACAACAAGAGAAACAAGGGTAATATTACGGCCTTGGTAATTAGAATCGGGTTTTGGGCTATATCCTAAAAGAAAGGGTTCTACTTACCAGACCCTCCCAGGGGGGTCATTGCAAGTGTCAAGAGCAGTGTAACATTATTGCATGCTTCTGCGTCCTGAGTACCACGATGCTTAACCCTATGCTTCCAAGGACCTCATAGTTAGGGCCCTAGACCCCTTAAGGACCCAATAATAAGGTCCCTGGAAGCAGAGGGTAAGGTGCTGTACAACTTTTTTCTCTACTTCGGCACGCTATGCCAGAACACACGGACGGAAGAAACGAGGAGCGTTGAAAAGTGCATTATGCTATGATGACACTAAAGACTTCTCAGGTTATACCTATAGTCTCCATTGTCGTTCCTTTTCTGGTTTAACAAAAGATACATTAACGAGTTTATAAGGTATCCCCAAAAAGGAACTACAATGGAGACTATAGGTAGTATTCCTGATCAGTCAGACGTCTTACTCAACTAGCACATACCTTGGCCTGAAGGTTGTGCGCAGAGACCGTTTCAGGGCCCAAGTATGTACTGTTCTGCTAACGTACATGGATACTTTCGGTGTATGATTCTGTTTAGCTGTGCTTTTGAGTGCTTGCTCATCACAACAGCAATTGAACTAATCCTTTTCGAGGTTTACTAGTGGTGAGATTGGCCATCCGTTAACAGTTTAGGGCTCAGGGATTAGGGTACCGCTTACCGCGATGTATTCTCGAAGTTCTTACTCGGTACTCCACATGATGATACTTCGCATCGCTGGTCTTGATGCTTGCTGGCTGCTGATTACTGCTCTGGTACGGTGTCTTGCAGTGATGATGAAATGTCTTGTTTGCGCTCAGACGTGTGTGACTGTGTCTGATTGTCTGTGTGTGTGTGTGTTGCCCTGAACCCTATAAACCCTGAACCCGAAACCCCAATACCTGGGTAGTTCTCCAATTTAGGTCCCCAATACCGTACGGCACCCTTATAGAAAAGAACCCAGAAGGGACCCTAATTTGGAGAACTACCCACCTGACAGCTGCACTCGCTTCGCCACTGCTGACCGGTGCAGCCGAGGCGCTGTCCACAAACAGATAGACCTCGAACAGATGCCCAGAGAACCCAATACCCCTTAATTAAGGAAGATACCTTACACCATAATATTAAGGCCCATATAATTTAAGGTATATTCCTTAATTAAGGGGTATTGGGTGCTCTGGGTTGAGACTTCAGGGATTTACAGCAAATCTACAGGTCTAGTGGCCGAAGGCAGTTGCCAAAGACCTCACAGATGCCTGAACACTTGGAATGTGCTTTCGGGGTGTCTTTGTGTCACATTGACGATTGGGAGACTAAGGAATGATTATCTCAAGCTCTAAACCCCAAACCCTAAACCCCTAAACCCTAAACCCTAAACAATAAACCCTAAACCCTAAGCCCTAAACCCTAAACCGGTTCAAACCCACAAAACCCCAGCCAACCTCACAAACCACAAGCCACTCAGCCCCCACTCGCAAAAAAACCAGCAAAAGCCCAGCAAGTCCCTATCAAGCCCCTTCACACAATGACAAACTCCGAAGAACTTGGTAAAACTTGGGTTTAGGGCTTAGGGTTTAGGGCGGTTTAGGGCTTAGGGTTTTGGGTTTAGGGTTTAGTGCTTTGTGTTTCGGGTTTTGGGTTTAGACGCAGAACCCTTCTGAAAAGCTTACAGAGTCGAAGCACCCGTTGTTCTGCAAAGCACCTTTTCAAGCTACACATACATCCCAGGATTGCCCAGGCTATGAAAGTCCCTCCTACAGGGGTTAGGGGTCTAGGGTGTAGGGGTTTAGGGTTCAGGGGTGTTAGGGCTTAAGCGGTTTAGGGTTTATGGCGTCCCATAAACCCCTCAACCCTAAACTACCCAGCCCCAGAAACCTAAACCCTAAACCCTAAACCCTCCGCAACCCTGGCCTGGCTACGGCGGATCTTTGGCGCCTCCTCCCCGGCGTACTGCAGGTCACCTTTGGGCAAATCTACGGCTGTGCATATACATTTGTCTATATACATATATACATATCTATATATGTGTGTGTGTGTGTGTCTGTCTATCTGTATAATGTGCATACAGATTTATATGAGTACATATTACTAATAAAACCATATTTCATATACATATATATATATATATACATATATGCACATGTATGTCCATAAGTATATTTGTATATATATATATATATATGTATAATGTATGATAATTCTCTCTGTGTGCATACATGTGTATATATATATATACATACACACATACATACATACATATAGGCACAGGCATGTGTATGGGCACCTATGTGTGCGTATGTATATATATATATACATGTATATATATATATATATATACA